AAATGACTACCATTTTACGGTAGTATGTATAGGAAGCACAATATAATGTATATTTTAATACCGTATATGTATGTATAATGTGATATAATGCATAGACTCCGTCTCGTCAGCACTAACCACAGTCATTACATATCTAGTGGCATACACGTTTATGCTGATTTTTATTTTATAGGCTTTTGTTGTAATTATCTACACATTGACTGGTGTCGCCAGTGATATCTGAGACAATGATCTCTAAATTATTACATTTATGGTTTTCATTTAACTATTTATCACTCTGGTTTGGCGATGGTCGACGAATGCTTGAAGCAGATATTGAATATTAATTAGTTGATAGTAAGTTGTGCATTTTTGATACATTATAACTATAAAGAGTAATGAAACGTATCTCGTATCAAAACATGGCTGAGAATTTTAAAGGTTCAAAAAACCTTTCAAATATCTGTCTATCCTAGCTATCCTCATATTGAACCACACACTAACATACTCGCCAAAAAGTATTTTTATTGAAGACTGTATAAGAAAAGCATTTATAGGTTAAAGAATTAAAAAAAATTAAAATTTCTACAGATAAATTAATCGACTCTCAAAGTTGAAGATTGATGCATTTTAAAAAGTTTTACTCAAAATTACTTTAGTTTTTGTTGATGATTTGGCAGCATATCTGTCTCACATGCAAGTTGAAAAATTAGCCCCTTCTGTTGTTGTTTTAAAAGAGATTCACTTATGCTCTTTGGCTAATTGTGCATAAACTGTTATACTGTCACAATTATATATACGCGTAGGTATTAAATATTATATTATAACTGACTAACTGACATTTGATCAAACGAGTAATTTCCAATACATTCTTACCCACAAATGTTCAGTACACGTGCATTCGTAAACTCCAAACCAGCTTTATGTACAATTTTGTCATATCGACAAGAAATTTAAGCCCATTAATATCCGATATTCCGATCCGTCTTGCCGTATTACATATTAAATTATATTATTGCCGCCGGGCTGGCTAAATGCATTTCTCATTATGCCTTCAAAGGACCAAAAGACTTGAATTGAACCACTCAAATGGAAATCAAGGCACCTTTTATTAAAACCCATCGCCTCTCTCCTGTTGTAATAGTGCTCAGCACAGTGGTGTGGATATGGTAGGGGATGATGGAGATAGATCCCTCAGAGCTTTAAGATTCTGAGTTGAGCGATGAATTCATTGTTACAATGGTATGTTTTTAAAATTATTTTTTGACTGCATTCAGATTTTACTGCTTTATACGATGTTCAACTTTGAGCCTTTGAGGATGGATATAATAGAAAATTGAATCTAGATTGCACTTTTAAGGGGTCAACATTTTCAGAACTTTTAATAATCAGAAAAAACCAAAAAAATTAAGGAAAACGAGAATTCTTAAGGAAAAACAGTCTTTGACCCAACTGATTTGGTTTTTTAGTGTAACTTAAAAACTAATGACTGTAGATACTTTTAATTTTCACCTACTGTTTATTTTATCATTTTTTATACATGATTTAATTTTTTAAATATCATGACTCGATTTGAGCTGTTAATAGACATTTGAAAATTTCAATTATGTTTAGTTTTTTTCTCTCTAAAATATCGACAAAAAATGTTCGTTGGGTCAAAAATCTGAAAAAGTCATATACAAGTTTCCATGTGAGTTATTTTAATAGCAGTTAAAATATATTAAAGATAAATGTGGATGTTTTTAGAAAAATAAGTTCAAATACTGACAAAAATTCATCAAAATATCGCAATGTTGCAAAGTATTTTGTAGTTTAAAATTTATAAAATAATGAATTTTTATAGCTAAGAATTAACTATCTAGAATAAGGTTTCTTTTAAGTAGTTCATTGTTTATACTATAACCAAAAAATATGAACTTGATTTTAATTTCAAGATCATAAGTATTGTCATTTTTGAGAAATAGCGATGATGAAGTGGTAATGGCTTTTATATTTCTTTATTATCTTTATAGATACAAAAAGCAAATTGCTATATGTTCGTCCTTCTTTTACTCCTAAACCATTCAAAAGATTGCAATGAAACTTTTGAGGAGTCCTTTAGGTATCCCAAGTAAGGCTTCTAAACTATTGCGACTAACAGCTGATCTAAGAACTCTGTCCTATCATTATACCCGGGGTCGGAATACGCTTGTGCGGTATGGAGAAAATAGGCACATGCTAAGAAGATAGATGTTGCACTAAAATGCAACAAATATACTAATCCCGGGGTGCTTGCGACTAACCCTCACCTGGAAAGTATAAATATTATGCGGAATAGCACCTTCAAACATAAGACGAGGGGTCAAAAAGAATAAAACAAGTATTAGGTAGTTATACTTATAATATACTCATTAAATTATGAACCTAACTTAAGTCAAGAAAAAACTTTATGAAGACACTTCGCCTATACAACGACAAATGAAGGGTATCAGACATGGTACATGACGTCCATGAGAATCTTAAGCCTGGGACTCTGCACATAGAAAGTACAAACATGATACGGCGGATCGAATGCTGTTACAAAGGAATAAGAACATCATCGCAAATAACATATTATAACCGAGTCGGCACAACAGACCAGCTTTGGAACGTGGGGTAAACGAGATAGGAAATAGTTGGTCAGGAAATGCTTCAATACCTAACCTCCATGCTACACTCTCAAATCCCTGTCTCAGACGGTTGAATGTGAAATGTGCAGTTAAGAACACTAGTTTTCCAAACTATGATCTCAACGAGCTGTGCTTATTTAATAACAACATACATTCTGTGATCGAGGGAAATTCTACGTGATAAAGAAATGACACTTCAATCTCCTACGGGAACCCACTGGCATTGCCCAAGTGAACGATCCATTACAATCGTAGTCTATTTATCTTATATCCTTGTTTTTCCATCCGTTAGTAACCAGTTCATAGTTATAATTTTTGATATTGGGATACTTGTAAGCTGTAGTTACTGACTATACATGCTATAAATGATTGTTAAAAATGAATTTTAATGAGTTATTTTCCGTAATATTTAAATTTTTAAAATGCAAAAATACATCGTTGAGACAAATACAATGTGTAGCATTTAGGGATATTTATGCAACTGTCTTATTATTTTACTTGTAGTTATGAGATAATAATAAAATTATTAACTTAACTACTATTATTTGTATACATTTTTTTGGAGTTGTTCGACAAACTTAATCTATCTCTAAACATATCCAAATGTAAGGTCATGACTTTCACCAGATCTCGTACTTCTTTAGTTTTCCCTTACCACCTGCGTGACACTGTAGTTTCACGCTGTAATGATTTTATTATGGATCTTGGGTTTAAATTTACAAGCAATTTGGACCCGAGCTTACACATTGAAATGATTTGCCGTTCTGCTCTAAGAACATTGGGCTTTGTTATGTGGTTGGCTAAAGACTTTGGCCTCAAATCTTCTCTTAAGGCTCTCCATTGTGCTATTGTACGGCCTAAACTTGAGTATGGTGCCGTAATTTGGGACCCGCATACTGCTGTTAATGCTTGTCAGTTAGAAAGGGTTCAGCATAGGTTTTTCCGGTTTGCCAGCTATTTACTGGGCATTGATTGTCCGCCTCATGACTACACACCTGTTGCCACTAATCTTGGTTTAGTTACTTTAGCTGAGCGCCGATGTTACTTTGGTAATACATTTTTAAAAGATCTACTGACTGGCGTTATTGATTCTCCTTCTTTACTTGCCCTAGTTGCTTTTAAAGTTCCACAGCGCTCCACCCGTTCTACTGCTATGTTTCATATACCCTTTAGTTCCACCAATTACATGCAAAATGAACCTTTAAGACGTTTGATATCGCAAGCGAATACGGACCCCTTCTTTAACTTTCTTGATTTTTAATTTTACACGCACTTATAATGTATTTCTATTGTTTGTTATTTTCTATCATCATATAATAATTGTAATATCTTTTCGGTACATATATATTTAATTGTAAAGGGCTCAGCCCGTAAATTCTTAATAAATAAATAAATAAATAATTATTTACTTTAATTTGAAAGTTTTGTAACGGTATTCATACAAAAAAAAAAAAACATAGTACAATGCATGGATAAATATATGGTACAATGTACCTGGTTGTGGTGTGATAAATTGTGTACAGCGTGGTGTAATAATTAACAAGTATTCACAAAAATTAGTAAATGAAGATAGTTAGATATAATAATTTAAATTATTTTCTAGTTAGTTAATATTTATCTCCGAAAATTTAAATAAGAAAACTGTACTAAAAACGAGCGTATACATATTTTCAAAATATTTTTTAGTTTTATACATTTTTTCTCACTAAACAATTATATGGTTTTTAAATAATTCTAAAATATCGTATGGTGTTCTTGTCTCTTCGGAAGGAATATATACTGTTTGTGAATCACAGTGTCAGGGTATAGGACGTCCGATACCTGAGGAGAATCTTATTAGTGGCCTAGTGTTAGATAGAATAATACATTATTGTGAACTCTGTTTATAATAATAATATAATATGCGATTCGCGTAATCATAATAATATGTCATCCGTACGACGCGACGATCGTAGCGCTAAGAACTACGAGAACAGTGCAACAATGACAGTTTATTTTTAATCGAGTTTAATTATTTTTTAAAAACGATTTTAACTCACGGGCCACGACCCCACGATTAAAGGTATTAATATTCAGATTATATTGAAGATAACAATAATAACTATAATACAGCCGCAGTACACAGATAATTGTGTTAGAACTTATACAATACGTTATAATATTATAATGTACCTATACAATATGTAACATTGCGACCGTATCGTATTGTTACACGCTGTTATATTTGTATGGCATAGGAGACTTGAAAAAAAAAATGAGCACACGAAATCATTGTAAACGAGGAACTAGTCTGAATAGGAACGGATATAATATACATGCAAATGGGTACCCCAGCTAGTGTAGAGATGTATTGTGAACGGGAGGCTGCAATAATAATAAACAAGAAAAGACACGCGAGCACCATATACGCGTCAGTATTCCTACACAGACATAATATGGAATAATGTTATGCGCTCGGACGACCAGTAGTTGACGCAGTGACTCGCGGTCCCCAAATAAACGCGTAGATTAATAATATTCTTCGGGTTGGGCTTCGTTTTGTTATCTTCAACACACATACTTCTAATAATAGAAGATGGCTGCCGACTGAGTGTTGTACGAGTAGAATCGGTCGGTCGCAAGTCGCACACGTGCAGCTCCTCGCCGCTTTCCAGAGATCGTCGGCCTGATTGAGTCCGCAACAGTCGAAAGCCCGCGGAGACGTCATCCGTACGACCTCGTCGTCGGGATCGAATAGAACGACGACGACCGCCACACAGCCATACGTTACTCTCGGCGAACCAAATATTTTCGGATTTAATTTTGTTAACGATATATTATTGTGTACGTTGCGTACACGCGCACAGTGCGTGTGTAGTATCGTCAGCTCATATTATATTGTACAATCGCGGGAGCGGACCGAATGTCGTACATTATAATATTATTATCATTTTCACATATTATTATTATTATTATTATTATTATTATATTATACGTGACGTGTCTGAGTCCATGTTCGAATTCGTCACCGACGGACTGCAGCAGGAAACGCATTGGGATTGCATATTCAGTGCATATACCATATTGTATATTATCTACTTCCCCATCGCCCGCCAGCTGTTCCCCGCCTGTACTAACGAAACACCGAGTACCCGAGGTTCAGCGACGAACAGGTAAAAAAATTAATATTACTGTCTTAAAAAACGAATCACGTACGTGCCGACAGTTATGCAGCAGTCTATTGTGATCAATTAAACATTCATTATTGGAAGTTGGCACTCACGCTGTCATAATAATATTATTAAATGCACTAGTGCATACAGCGTGATTGACAAGACACGCTCATTGCTCACCTCCCCTCTCAGTGTTGTTTACTGTTACTGTGAATTAAAAATATTTTCTTTTAAGTTTTATTCTTTCAAAATTGTTGAGTTTTCAATAATTTAATTTTCTTTTTAAACAAGATTAGAAACACGCCTAGCTTATATTGCTATCTCTATGACTGTAATCTATTGGCGAATTCACATTTAATTTGTTTTAAATTTCTATAAAACAAATCTTCTAAACATTTACAAAAGGACATTGTCAATTGTCCTTGCATTTTACTCGAATGAGAATACACGAATCTTTTCTATGTATTGATATTTTTTAGCGCAGATGCTTATTTCAAGAACTCCTTAAATGCCATAACAAATCGAAGTTAGTACAGAAAATACATATTTAATTTCACTTAAATCTTCAAAAATTGTAGAATAGGGGTAAACGTGTGATTGATGAAGTATCATATTATGTATAAATTGATGTATGTAAAGTACAGAGTGAGTGGCGTATTCATAGGAGGGGGCAAGGGTGGTAATTTTAGCTGGAAAAAAAATGTTTAAAATTATTACGATGAATTACAAACTGACAACCATATTCTAAACATAAAAATATTGTAAACTTTTGGTATAAAATGCAACGAGTCATATTCTTTAATCTCGATCCTACTTAAGGTTACTAATACAATTTTGTACATATCATCTAAACTCATAAAATATCTATTAGAATTTGAAGTATTTTATTATACTTACTACAACTCTTATGCTATTCGATATATGAATGTAAATTAAATATATGGATATTGGATAAGCTGTAAGCGTATTTATTTTCACTTCCAATCTTATAGTTATTTAAATTTTATCATTTGTTTGTGTCTTAGTAAACTCAATAATATAAATATAATATTATAATACAAATTTATCATATTATTTACCTAAATTGTAAGTACACTAAATAAACGGGCTGCATGTGAATTTGCATCATTGCAGTGGGTTTGAATTTATTTTCTCCAGTGCCCACACACACGTTCACAATAATTCGAAATATGTGACTTGCACCACTCGTTGTACATCAATACGATGCCGCATTTTTGTTGAAATTGAATAATCGTAGAAAATTTCAAACAGTACCTATCTAAATATCTAATAAATATGGATACCTTTATTGGATAGGAATAAATAATAATCGACAATGGCAAATATTGATACACGTGTGGCACGAGTAACAACCTTTAGTACAATTATTTAAAGTTATTATACATTTTAATACGTAGAGTATAGAGACAAGCACCATAAATGCTATTAAAAAACATCTGAAAATGTATTATTGCTTTTGTAATCAGTATGAAATTGACTAATAAATTATAATACTGTAATCGTGTTTCTTGGAAACAGTCAATTTCACCGTGATTTGAATTCATAATAATTTTAATAAGCCGGCACAATTACATGATAATATATTAAAACACTCATTGACTAACTATTTTTGAACGATACTTCCTGAAAGACTACTTGCATGCGACCGGATGATTCACGGCGCAATTCGTAATTATTGTGCTGTTAGTATTAATTTTAGAACATTCGTTGAATTTGTAAAACGATTCTGAACGGTATACTGGACGTATTTTATTCGATTTACAATTTCAGTGTTTTATTTTCTAATCGAAAGTCGATTGAAGGGAAGTGGACCGTACTACCACCGATGGAACATTACCTGAAAAAATGTACGCATATAAGTTATAACTTGTCACAAACGCACATACAAATAATAAGTGTTTGAGAATTAATGAATAATGATTTCGACTAAGAAGTACATACTCGTAGTTCAAAAACCGAATTTCACTAATATTATTTGAAGATTGAAACGTACTGTTCATACCACTGTAATGTTATGACTTTTTTTTTTTTGTAACGATGAACACACCATCAATAGAGCTAAATGAGTTGCCTATACTTTTGCACGGCGAGGAGTACTTTTGTACGGTTCGTTGTATTAAATTTATTACACTCGTGGCCTAACTATAAGTCGTATTTCCATTATTATCTTACCATTATTATCTTGTATATTACGAACTTTGGAAGGTTAATGTCATATTATATTATCTATGCTAGATGGTTGAAAACTCTATGGATATCCAGGAAGGGTATTTGCTATTTTATTTAGAAAAGTTAAAATGAATGATTGAGTAGCAATTAAAAAAAAAAAAATATCCACGCAGGGACAAAAATGCAGTAATAAATAGTTATTCTTTTTCTATTCCCTGATATGGTCATGAATGTGTATACCGGAACACCGTGGACGGGTACACCTCTTTTAACTATTTGAATCGACGAATATCAAGTTGTAACTTGTAAGGTCAATATATTTAATGCTTTAACATTTAAATTAGTACTTGTGAAATTGAAAATTTACCTAAGCTAGTTTGTTATGTGTGATTTTTGCGTCGGCATTTTCAATCTTTGTCAAAACTGACTGTGAAGAACAATACATCATCGTTCATCATCAACATTTAAACAATTACGTTGTACGACGTACACATATTAGTATTTTTATTTTTTAAGTTGTTTGAACCATTAATTATTGAAATCGAAAAAAGGTCGCAACAAAAATTAAATAGTCCATCGTTATACATCAATCTACATATTATGATAATATGCCATATGTATATACTATATAGAATATACTTAATAATAATAATAATAATAGTTATTATGAATATTAAAAGTAAAACTAATAACTATATTATATTATTATTTGTGTAAACATGCCGACAAACATATTCAATGTTCAAGAAAATATACAGTACATTTAAAACTAAAAAAGTGTATTGAAATAATTGAATACTGCATATTTGTAAGAAATTTTGGTATATTTTTGTACTCGTTTTTACTTAGAGGAAAATAATCGATACAATAAAAGACAGTAAATCAGAGGAAATATTGAAAACTTGGAAATCAAAGCTTGTGATTTTTATTTTGGAGTAATCAGTAGGCAGGATGAAATAAAATATTATTTACGCTTCGACTGATATTGATTTTTCGTCTTCTATATGGATGTAAAGTATTAGTTAATGTTCAATCAAGTGGAATTAAGCAAACCCAATAAATTCTGAAATGTCCCTGCTTGTATTTTAGTCTGTAGACTTATGCGTATTCCAACGCTAGTTATTACTCAATTGGGGTCCTGAAGAATATAGTTTCTAAAATTGACAATACCTGAAAAGCAAAATATGTGATCATACTTGGTATTATAGTCCTTTTGGTGGTTCTATAAAACTAAGTAAATTACAAAGAATCGAATGGTATTCAGAGTACGAACGTAATAAATAATAATAATATGTTATGTACTTGTATTGTGTAAATTGTATTATAAATTACTCTATACCTAATATGTTTTATTAAAATAAATTATACATCATTATAATATTAACACATGATGTAAAATTAAATCTAAAATCTTTTTCCTGGAATGTTTAAACAAAGTTTGATTTTATCAGTCTCCCAGAATGACAAGGTTTCCGGGAATATGACGTATTTATAATTTATATTCACCAAGCTGTTTATCGTCTTGACCGCCGTCTCGGCTGTATATCTGATTTCATGGAATTCTCAACTGTTTCTAAAAAATGGCATGTGATATGTGGACGATTTGAGTTCGCATTAAAGTGTTTACGTTATAAATAATAAAATATGACATTTCGTATTATTTTTTACGTTTGTAATATTCAAAATTAAATTATTCTTCGATCATATAATTCGGCACAGATGGTACATAATGTTATTACAGATGAGTTAGTACCTACTTGGTTTTGATTTATAAAATAGTAAATATACCTGCCACATTTAAAGCCAAGACTCTTTTTTTTATGTTTATTCTGAGCGGCTCCGCTGTATTAACTTCACATTGATTTTTTTGCGTACCTACACTTTTTAATGTTTATAGTACGTAGAACATAATATGGTTTAATCTTAAACTTTGATATTGTGTTTTGGTAGCAAATTTGTTAGAGCTTATACTTTGAGGAGATCAAAAGTAGAAATGCAGAGTACTTTTCAAATTTATCGGAAAAATTCAACAACGAAAGTGTGGGCAAGTTACCAAACCGATATGATATACAGTAGGCGACATCTAGTGCACCTCGTCATTAAAAGCTTAGGTCACTGAAATGAATGTGTTACATACGAAAAACGATTCTGAGAGAACATGGTCTGTCAGCCTATATTAATAAGTATATTTTATTATATCTTTATATTGCTATCTGCTTTGGATAAAATTAAAATTTTAATTTTAAATAACTATATAATGTCTATAATGTCTTTGAAAATAATATACAATAGGTTTCTTAAAAGTTATATCTTACCGAAACTACATTGGGCTCAATTTTAATTAATCGATATTTGAAATAGAAACTAGATTGAAATTAGATATTTAAACAATAAATAATGAATTTAGTAAATTTATTGTAGTTCAAAAAAATATTATTCTTATTTCTTAGGGACTTGAAACTTTTCCCCATTACTTGTTCATAATTTAATATTCAAAACATTCCATGATGTATAGTATATAAAAGTGATTTTGTGGTAAAAATTAATTGAACCAACCGTTCAGTAATACAAAAATATCCATCGAAATATATCCTGACAGACCACCCCCGCTTGGAATCGTTTTTCGTACTCAATGTAAATCATTACATAAAGCACACCTATAGCTACTATCGGTACAGCAGAGCGACTCACTTGGTTTTTTTATTTTCATTCTAGTACTATTGTTTGATTTATATTTGATAACAATAGTCACAAATTTGTGTTGCGTATTGGGTTGATGGATCTTTTTTGTACACATAAAATAATATTCT